TACTACTACTACTACTACTACTACTACTACTACTACTACTACTACTATGCTACTACCTGTACTATAGTACTATACTACTACTACTACTGCTACTACTACTATGCTACTACCTGTACTATAGTACTATACTACTACTACTACTACTACTACTTCTACTACTACTACTACTCCTACTACTACTATGCTACTACCTGTACTATAGTACTATACTACTACTACTACTGCTACTACTACTACGACGACGACTACTACTACTACTCCTACTGGGTCAACTGGGTCAACTGGGTCCGGAGATTTAGCGCGCCCCCCTGGTCAACTGGGTCCACCACGAGGAGGACGACGATGAATACTGCTACTACTACGTGTCGACTGGGCTCTACTGGGTCAACCACTACTATCTACCACCACCACCACCACGACGACGACTACTACTACTAGTGACTAGTGGGTCAAGTGGGTCCGGAGATTTGGCGTGGCCGCCTGGTCAACTCGATTTACAAGGGTCGACCATATTTAAAAAATGCAATGGGTGGTCGCTACATTTCAAGAGTTCCAGAACAAGACACCTTCGAACGCTTCTTCATCTTCTTGAGGATGTATCTTCAACTTTGTTGTTGCTGATGTGTGTCCCCTATAGAATCTAACTTTATCACAAGATATCGCAAGTGTTCGCAAGTCAAAACGGTGTCCAACCGTCGGTGGTCCACACTCTGGCACACTCCCAACCCCCCGAAGTTCGCGAACGTGCAGGTCCCGCAATCCTTCGGTAGGTCGATTGGCGTACGATCCAATCGAGATCGCCCGTCAGAGGAAAGGGGTCCATCCAAGCTCAACACGGAAAAAAGGATCCATCCAAGCTCAATACGGGAACCCCGGTGTTGAGCTTGATTTTTACTGTTCAGACTGCCTTGTTTTACACCTGGCACTAGTAGGGATCCATCTTTGGTCGAACATGCCCAGTAATAGTAGTCGTTGCCAGACCTTGAACTCAATGGACGCAATGGACCCAAGTTGACCCGTAAGTAGTAGTGGTCGTGGTGATGTAGCGGTGGTGCACCCAGTTGACCCAGTTGACCGGATCTCCGGAACCCAGTTGACCCCAGTTGATTCAGCTGACCCAGTTGACCTGGTGGCTACGCGGCTACGCGCCTACGCTACATCTCCGGACCCAGTTGTCAACTGGGCTGTTCAACTGGTCAACTGGGGCCACGATTTAGCGGCCCTGTGCCGACGCACTCCATGGATTGGCTCCTGAGAGCTCACGGCCGAGTTGAAAAAGGCAGACAAAAGGACGGCGAGAAGAAACCAGATCCGCAGCATCTAAGCTATTTGGCAAAGGGTTTTGCTGCATCACACAAAAAAGCGGTGAGTCAAGGATCACATATAGCATCGAGCCCAACAGAAAAGGACTCATTGGAATTTGCCAGGCATCCATCCCAAGTGTGGAAAACCAAAAGAGAGAATCCACCAGCAAAACACCAAACCTTCGTAATGTGAGTAGGAGGACGACTGAGGAGGAGTACATAATGCTAGCACTAATAGTAGTAGGAAAAGGAGTAGCAGCAGTAGTAGGGGTAGTGGTAGTCGTTAAAAAAAGTTTAAGCAAACACACACACACAGGTCACAGGATCAAATTAATACGGGGTACCGGCCCTTGAGGGCTGAACCGTATAAAAAAGTCAATAGTAGGTGGTGGTGGAGGTGATGGTGGTGGTGGTCGTAGTGGTAGTAGTAGTAGTAGTAGTAGTAGTAGCAATAGCAATAGCAATAGTAGTAGTAGTAGTAGTAGTAGTAGTAGTAGTAGTAGCACTAGCAATAGCAATAGTAGTAGTAGTAGTAGTAGTAGTAGTAGTAGTAGCAGTAGCAGGAGCAGTAGCAGGGGCAGTAGGTGTAGTAGTAGCATTGGTAGTAGTAGTAGTAGTAGCAGTAGTAGTAGGAAATGATAGTAGTAGTAAGAAAAATTGACCTGGTTGTGGGCTCGGATTGCCTGGGGGGGGTCCAGTGCCCAACTAGAGAAAATCAGCCACCACTATTTTCAATGTGGGCAATTTTCCGAGGTATTATGGGCTCGGATTAACTAGGGGACGTTTATTAATCCTGACGTTATAAGACAACACGTCCTCCACGTTCTAGAGTGCTAGCGGTCAAATGAACAGGTTAAACAAACTGCTAATGCATCTCAAACCAATGTGGTGACTTCGCCTTCTTCCTCCATTTTATTAGAGGAGGACTTCTAGAGGAAACCGGCGCCATGAACTGAAGGCCCAGAGTGACAGTTTTCTGGATTGGGTTTGTAGAATTACTAGAGGTTAAAATGGTTTATAGATGTTTATAGATCATCTGTAGTTTCCAGCAATTCAGGAATTTGATCGATGTTTCTTGTGCTAGGACCCTCCGGCAGGCTGTTCTGGGACCCTAAGAAGAGGTTTCTGGGCATGTCACCAGGAAACATTAATTTGTTGGAGGGTCCGGGGTCCAGGTGTAGATTCCCGGGATTTATATTATATATCTATCTATAGATGTTCTTTTGCAGTCATGTTGGGGTTGTGAGGACCAGCGATGTTCCGCCCCTCCAAAACAGATGGGTCGGCGCTGCACAGGAGGAGGGCGTCGCAGAGTGTGACGCTGCGAGCGATGCAGGGATGAGTCAGCCTGAGACAGACGTGCTCAGCTTTGAAGAGAAGGAAGGACAGGAAGGCCAGATGGAGGGTTTGTGATGTTGACATGTGCTGAAATTCATTGAAAGGAGGTTGTCCAGCTGGAATATTGCACTGAAATAACATATGAATATATATATATATATTAGAGTCGTAATATATACATAATGTTCACAATACACATGTATTTGTGAATAAGCACGTGCCCACTCAATGACTCAAGTGAGACGCTGATTCGCTTGAAGATGATTAACACAGTTGATCTAAGGATAAGCTGGGTTAAACAAACAGACATCGCAGCAGAAAATCAACTATAATCAACTGGTTCACCGAGGGAGAACAGTTTCCCACTGCGTGCAGTTTTTGCCTTGTTTTTGGAAACCAATCCGAACAGGCTCAGGAGCTTTGCCCAAAGGAGCAAACTCAATGAACATTAAATTGAGTAATTGGTAAGTCAAAGGGGAGACTTTGTATCCAACATTTCTCCACCTGTGCATCAGCTTAAATACATTTAGATACTTGTTCTTGATGTTCAGGCCAGACACTGGTTTTTGCGGATACAGGAGTTTCGCTCATCCGCCATATGACAGATGTGTTTTCTTGCGTTTTTTTTCCGTTATTTGTTTGTTTCGTTCCAAAGGCGGTCAACCTTTGGCAGTACAAGTTACTTCTTTTGATGGTTATTCCAGGCAACAATACTGACACGGAACAAATCTCCGACAATATTGATCGTGGCTTGTTCTGAACGGCCATCTTGGGCCGGTCCTTTTGTCACTGTGTCATTGATTGATCAAAAGTATTGAAAAAGTTTTTTTTTTGTCCATGCAACATAAGTGCAATCCAACCGCAATAGATTGCACATATAAAATGCACGAGTTAGATTATCAGCGGTTTCTTTTGAACTGGAGTGCTGCTTTCAGGTGGGGTGAGATGTTCCCAAATGGTTGTCAGAGATAGGACAAAATATACCAAAATGGGATCGCTGGACACATCTGGAAACCATGCTTCCTTTCAGACGCACCTGAGGAGCACGAGGAAACGGCAGTTGCCAAAGGAAGCGTCATCACCTCACCGGTGCCTGATAGGAATGGCCTCCAACCTACGACCGCGATGGCCTCCAACAAAATAGGAATGACCTCCAATTAGGTATCCAGTTGCTGAAATTTCAATAGGCCCCTTTAACAATGTATACATATGATATATATGTCCAAACGCTGCTGACATGTTTTTTTTGGTTTACGAGGAGTGTACCAGGTGACGAGACAACTATAGCAAATGGACACAAGATTATGGAGGCCTTGCTTGTCGTAGTAACCACCACTGTTGTTTATGTTGACCTGTGGCCTGTGGTTACACGTCGATCTTACCCCCAAGGGCCTTGCAGTCGAAATGCTTGTTAAATGGACGGCTTCCTCACATGGTTTCAGAGGGCACTTTGGGCAACCTAGAAAGTCCCATCATAACTTCGCAACACCTTGTCCTTGATTTACAGTTACTGACGTCTTTTGTTTATTTTACGCACTGGTCTGTGCCTCAAGTTGTGAGGCAAAATTGAGAAGGAGAAGATTGAATCTCGGATTGCTCCTAAACCCCTCGCTTGGTGCTTGAAAGTGACCTGGATTTCAGAGAAGACATGTCTTCACTGTCTTCAAATCCCAACTATTCGCCTCGGACCCTCGGGAGTCCGGCTTGTTGGACCTCGCAGCGATCAACTCGCAGGCTGTATCTGTATTTTGTGGGAGCGCGGCACTATGAGTTCACACGAAATCGTCAGTTTGTTTGAGAAGTAGTAAACACAATCTAAAAAAGAACAAACATATAGCATACCTTCCTTTCTGCAATATATATATATATATATGGGAATTCATTTGGTTGTTCCGATCTTGTGAGTTTGAAGGATCGGAGATCCCGCTAAGATCCCTTTGGGCCTTCGTCGGACCGGACCGGACCCAACACGGAAGCAACGAAGGCACCACGATTTGGTCCCCGATGTTCGGGTTCTTTTCACCCATGTTCGACCCGTCCATGTAGCGAAGAAGCTTCCAGGATCTTCCAGGTAAGCTATATAGTTTTGGTAGTTTGACCTACAGCCTGATACAGCTTGCGTGGGATTGTGGGATGCGTTGTCTTTTTGCCTCCCAGGATATGGAAAACATGAAAGAAGTGCTGGAGCTGCCCGGGGTCCAAGGATGCCTCGCGCAAACATGTATGGCAGAGTACTCTCACAACATGGGGTATACAATTTAGGATGAACAACAGCAGAGACTCACTGAAGACTGCAGAGACTCAAGAGAGCTGGTCACACTTCTTTGGACAATTATTTGATTTGAAAAGGCAGAGCTGAAGAAGACGACAGACCGAAGATGGCCATGCCCATCGACCAAAGACGATTCCAACAGCAATGACCAGGTCCGGGGAATTCGTTGGATGCGGGGAGATCGGGACATCGAAGGGGGACACTGACGCGGAAATAGACTCGCTTTTCTGGGCTCAGGTCTCAGACAGAGCTGGTTGTTTTGTCCAAGTCTCTTGGACACACCAGATGGGCCTGCAGCCATCGACCAGATGGGAGCTGATCAAACAACACTACTCAATTAGAGGTGAAAGACCAAGGTTTACTGGGTCTTTGTGGACTTGTAGGGTTTCTATAGAATCGGTATTCTTACAATGTGGAGTGGAGAATCAATATTCACATTCTTCGGGGATTGGTGTCCTAAATTTGCCCTAAATGAACCCGTGGACATATGTGTGCTTAACTTGCTGTCACGCTTTCCGAATTCAGAATTCACGTTTTCTCCCTTTGAATAACTGTGCCGACCAGAGTGTCAGCAGAGTCACCATCGGAGTCAAGGCATGAGTGGTCGAATCGAACCGGTAGCAAAAGGTTGCCGTTGTTCCTTAAAAATGAAAGAAGGGAGCTAAGCGTGTTTTGTCTCAAGGGTCAACCAAGTAGATTGCGGGTCCCGTAATCCATTCAAACTGGGTGTTGCCGGAAGATGACAGACAGTTCGGTCTTTGGTGTTGTCACTGCATGGTTTCTTTTATCCCAAGAGATCCACTGTGAAAGGGGTGGGTCAGGAAGAATCACGAAGTCAGGCCCGTCCAGAGCAAATCCAAGGTTCGCCTGGTTAGATTTCAGCAGCTGTCATACATCACAAAAGGCCACTGGGTCTTGCCACGTCTTGCCCTCTTTTACTAACCGCTCTTTTGGGTGGTTGACATCAGTGTTGAGAGTCAATCACCGGGAACTTCTCTGGTGGAAGTAGATGTTTGGTTGAATCACTGAATCACAATTGCAAAGCACTACTTAAGGACTTAAGGGGTCCTCAAGCTGTCATGTTGGTGGGTTCCAGTTTCTAGAACATTCCCCTGCCTATGCCAGAGAATCTGCCACCCATGGTTTGTTCTCGTGCTGGCATATTTACAGTACACTCAGTACACATTAATGTGTCAGAACATCATCTTACTTGTACCCATGCTGATGATATGCTCTCTCTTTCTGAATCATACTGTTGATGGACAAATCAACAAGTCCTGTTCTTCACCTGACATAGAATAGCATCTCTGTTGTTCACACGGAAATTTGTCCCAAGGTGAATCAGCGGATGTCAGGACCGTATTTGGACATTCCAAGCACCAGAGGTGAGTCCTCTCACATCCTCACATCTCATGAGTCATATGATAGTCATATGAGTCCTCATATCTCCCTGTGGTTACAGGTGACACAACTCGTGTCTTTCTCATTCGCACCTCACCAACCCCTCACTATTCGGCCCTCCCTCAGGTCCTGGGATATGCTCATGACGGCGCTGGGTGGCGAGCGAGAGACCGTGGGCGATGCCATCTTCGGCGCCCTGAGCAACCGCTTGACCGCCATCCAGGCGTGGCAGATATCAACGTGGTCGGCCAAAAAAGCTGGAGCCAAGCCGATGTGTTTCGCTCCACCTGGAGCCAACACTTGCCCCTGTGGTGGTTGGAGATACCTTTATCATCCTTTAAATCATATTTATAATTTACAATCCTTTCACCTTTATCTAATATGGTATGACGGGGCTTTTATGGCACCAAATTGTATTAAAGGTGTCTCCCTGCTCATCCTCAAAAAAGAGGGTACAGCTGGATCCACGTAGAAACACCAACATGGGACCACCCTTCGTGTTTCTGGGCGAGACGGCCACACGCGTGTTCTTCCTGCTGCAGCGGCTTCCCCCCGGCTTCGACTGGCACCACACCGGAAAGGGCTCACGAGCGTCCAGCCGCCTCGACGAAGACGCGCGCAGGAAGCCTTCAAGGGTCGTCCTAGGGCCATCATCTCCTTGAACCTCTTCAACGGCTTCCGGCTCTTGTGTGAAAAGGCGGTTGATCCCCAGGAGAGCGAAACGGGCGAGCGGAATGGGACGGTGAGACTTTTGGTTGTGGGCGCGTTTGGTTTTGGCACATGTGAGTTTGGGCACGTAGGGGGGTGTGATTTGGTGTCCGGAAAGTTGTGAGTGGAATTGTTGGAAAAAAAAAAAACCTTGATCAACACATATCAACAAAAAATCGGTGAACACAGTCAAATCAACGTGGGTGTTTGGGGCTCCAGGCAAGGTATACGATCAGTCTCATCCAGCAACTTGTGTGCAGAACATGCAACAGTTGCTTAATATACTGGGCCACTGTTTTTTGGGTGAAGTGTTTTGATTTTGCATGACTTTGCACTTGTACAGACTCGTTTTATTATGTGTATATGTATACTATATATATGATTATAGATGTTTGTTTTGAGGCTGCCGTTTCAATGGAAAAGGATGCAGCAGCAACACTGGCTTGGCATGGAATGGGTATGCAAGACATTCCAAATACGAACTCGGCGCAGGATTTGAAAATCCAAGTAGAGACCTTGGCCTTCAAGCCGCTTGGAAGTTTGGACGATATGGACGGATCTGGGGGGCCTTGTGAAGTTTGGGTCGAAGCCTTCAGTTCGAAGCGTCGATTCTTTCACGTTATGAACGCTGAGTCTCTTGCTGTCTATAAAGTGAGGCAGAATGAGCGGAAAGGCAAAGAACATATTGCCTTCAAGGTGTGCAGATGTGTACAGGACATTTATGATATATACATATATATATATATTAATATCTAGTGAATTATAATTAATAAGAAACAGCAGATACATATTACCTTCAAGGTGTGCTTTGAAACATGAATCAATCTACCCCGCATGACCACTGGTCACCAGAATGAACATACTCAGTTACTCACTCTTCAAGTCTTCCCGGTTCATGACGGTCATATCGGGTGGGCGCCAGCCGCTCGGGGTGGTCCGGACCTAGCTGACCACCCAGCAGACAGCGTTTTCCAGCCCGGCTGGGCTCCGAGCACTTTGTTCCGAAAGTAGTTAGACCCCACCCAAAACCAGCCCAACCACCTGAGGACGAGGAGGTGTAGGGGAGTACAGGCAGCGGTCTTCGACTGAACAATCAATGAGACTCATATTGAGTTGCAAGTATGAGGTCAATCTTTGGGAATCCAAATACCGTACCATCGAAACGAAGGTACGACTGGACACTCCAAGGACTCCAAGCCTAATTGCATACAAGTGTTGAATCAAACCACCATTCGAGGGTAACCTGGATCCATAGAGAATGACTCACGGGAATGACAGTGGCCCACTCCTAACTTATTTAAGGTTTGATGAAACCGTACTCAATGGGAGTTGTGCTCCACAGTTGATTCTTGGGGAGTGCTGGAGTGGTTGTCCCGTGATCATAGATGACTGATCACTGATCCCAGAACGATACATCAACAATGCCAAAAGGGATATGGAAACCTTTGGTATAGCCAACAAGACCTTTGGACACCAAAGCTTCAACAAAAACGGGACCGTTGAAGCACCGCAGTGACCTGATCTGAGTCCACAGCCAAGGCATTTGGGGAATGAAATCACTCAGCAGCGGGTTGATGGCGTTACCGAAGCCTTCCTGGAACTGATGCAGCAGAACGTGGCTGAGCTGCCACCGGGTGCGGTGAACGTGTGGCAGAAGATGCTCACCTACACTGGCTCTTGCTGCAGGTGGGAAGGGTGAGGATTGGTGGGAAGTAGCATTGTTGGGAATTGTGGATGTTGGGCGGGAGACAAGGCGAGTTCCCTAGCTGCTAGGCCCTGGCTAGGAGTGGAAGTGAGAGATCATGATTCACCACCTGAAGTTCAGGTCCAAAGTCCAGCTTGATATATATATATATATACATGCACATATAACACATATATAATCATATATTATATATATATACTATAATAGTAAATATTTTGTTGATGAATCTACGTCATGATACAAATTGCCAAAGGGTACCTACGACCCGGTGTCCTGGCGTCGTCATGGGCCATCCCGGCGACCGGTGGGTAGGGGCCCCGAGAGCGAGACGAAGCTGACCACTCCCTGGAGGGTCGCACCTGTTTCTTGTTCCTAGTAGTATGGCCAGGAGCCCCTAGTAGCGTTCTTGTTCGTTCGTAGCGTCCGATCGCTCCGTTCGGTTCGCGATGCCCGAAATGCTCCGTTCGAGCCGCGTCCTCTGGTGACTAGTAGCGATGCCAGGAGCCGGCTCCGAAAAGGTCCAGTTTCACTGGTGGCTCCCTAAGAATCGATATTCACAGGTGAAGGGCATTAAAGATGCTTAAATAGGCTCCAACCCCCTGGACGCCATTGGACGCTGTCGGTTCCGAGAGGGTGAAGAACTCTTCACTCCAAGTCAGTCCCTCTGATCAGTCTGCTTTGTTCAAAAAAGAAATTAACACATCCGGGGGTCCGGCCACTGGTTGGGTCGAAATACATACATAATACAGAGCCATGGACAGACCGATGCGCACGAAGCCACAGGGAGGAAAACAAATAATGATCAAGAGCTGTGAGCTAATCTGCCAAAGGTCCGTCTCAGAGCATTTGTGGCTTCATCAAGTGATGCATACCTGAGCACTTTCCAAAATGCCAACTAATTGAGGATTCACGGCCCACTGTTCCACTGGTTCTTGCCACATGGCCTGCAGAAACATTGCCTTTAACGTCTACCTGCTTGCTTGCATGTGAATCTTCCCGGAAAGGGACTTTCAACAGGGAGTGTCACCTGTCCTGCACAGATTGAGTGTCGTGGCGATGTTAGACTTGTTAGACACACCCCATCATTTCTCTTCAACCAGTCTTCCTCCAGGTACATTAGTGCCACCTACACCGACCGATTGAAGATCATCCAGGCCCAGCCTGGGCTCAGAGACTGGTCAGAGGCAGTCAGAGGCTCAAAGAAACACATGGCTTGGTAAGGTAGACCGAGATTCTCTTCCCGCACAAACTCTCCATTAAACTGATGTTTTGGACACTCAAGCCGTCTTCCCGCACGGAGGTCCACGGTTTGCGTCACCGAGATATCAAACCCAAGGGTCCAGGACCATCCGTTGCTCGGATGTCCTGTGTTTTTTTGGCCCCAGAGAGACCTTCCTCCTGTTTCTTGTGGAACCGCCTGCAAGACCATCGGACAGTTTAAAGTTTAAAGGATGTATAACTGGACCCTTTGGGTCTTTGGATGGACGCACAGTTTGCAGCGTTTGGAAACAACATGAAACACAAGGCACAAAAGGAATCCCTTGGTTGGTCACTGCTCGCATGTTTTTCCTGCAATTGTGCTACCTGGGACAAGATTTCATTTGGTCCATTTGGTGCAGAAGAACTAGCCCAGGTGGCTGGACCAGCCCAGGGCCTTCAAGGGCCTTCAGGGCGGTCAGATCAATCAACTAAAGACGACCAGGTCCGTGTATTGGTACCAGGACCATTCGTTGTCCAATGGAAGCCCATGGCCCACATGGGATGTACAGGCTTGTCTCTCAAGGGGTGCGCTTTTGGTGAAGCGCCACTGGTTCTCGTGGCAGTCTGGGGAAGAGGCGGTCGTGGGGTTTGGGAGAGAATGAGAGAAATGATAATGCAGTGACTCCTCCGCGTAAAGAGGTAGAAATTTGGTGCAAAAATGCCACATGAATGTGCCCAACTCTTTTCGTTGCACTACTGACCACTGAAGGTCCTAAGTGGCAGGCCAAATTATGAAGCGACAGTTTTCTCAGGAATCGTCAAGCGACAGACATCAAGTGAGTTTTGCAAAGCGACCACAATTCTACATATCCAAGTGTGCTATAGCTAATTTCCTATTGACATCATTTAACATCTAATTATTAATGGATCGGATTCCACTACACGCCCTCTGCTTGCGACCCGGGCCTCACAGGAAGATTGGGCGGTGATCCAATCCGCTCAGCACGAGACGGAGTCCAACGAAGAAGAGAAGGTCACCCGCAGCTTCGGCGCCTTGGGAGCACCTTCGGCGCCTTAGGTGCGAACGGAGCCTCTTCTGGGGTGCTTTCAAGGTCTCCACCTGAAACATCCAAGTCCTGACCTCGTATCGTCGGAGGTTTTGGTACCTCTACGGGGGCGGACAATGGCGAGCAACGGATGGTCCTGGACCCTTCGGGACGATGCGCGATCCGGTAGACTGGATCCGGGACCCAGCTTTCGATAGCTTTCGTCTAAAAGTGTCCGGGGTTTCAGGACACGCAGCGCATGATAACTGCTTGGTTTGATAATTGCAATTGCTTGGTTTTCCAGATTTATATGCTTGATAATTGCTTGGTTTGACATGCGGTTCTAGGGAGGTGCGGAAGGACTCCCTAAACAGTTTCGAGATTGAGCAGTTGACTCTAACACTGGCCGGCGCAAGACCTTCGATTTGCCCTAAGTCAAAACCCTAAAGGTGGGCGGATTGAGCCCCTCAAAGTGTGTGTGTGTGTGTGTTTTTATCATGTTCTCCATTAAATGAAGTCCGTTAGAATGGAAACTATGCTTGCGGGACGGCAGGATATGGAGTTGGGTGCACAAATGGAGAACACTCCAACTAACTGGTACTTTTCTAGTCTCAGGGTTCTCCCTGCATCATACACATCCAAATCGACAGGCATCAGAGATCGAAGCAACCTGAACCGTGGCCAAAACTTTGCAACATCGGTGGCTTTTTAAAATACCAGGAATACCGATGTTGTAGAATTCAGGAGGGCTTCTGAACATATTAGGTGTTTCTTTCATTCCATGGCCTCATCATTCCCCAAGAGTTGTGTCACATGTTTCTTTCCTCGCTTTCATCCCAGTGCTTTTACTTGTTTGGTCCAACAAGTTGAGACCGTGGCACTTGAAGCACCAGCCGAGCCGTGGCACTTTCGGAACAGAACAACGGCCATTCCGAAACACCTCAACGGCGACTCCAAACGTGAAGACGACGGAACGGTGATGACGCCGACGACGTCGCTGAGGTGGAATGTGTGCCTTCAGCAACGAGGTGATCGGACAACCCACGGAAGGCAGGGCATGGCCGGCAGGGCTCCAGGCGTATGGGAAGGAGAAAAGCTCTTGTCACTTGTCTCTTCTTTTTGCAGTACTCGTAGCAAGAGGTGTTTGGAAAGATAAATCACCACCGGCCTCCAAGCGCCTGATAGCCTAAGCACCATGAACTTTTGCTGCCGCCCTTAACTCTTAAAACAGCGCCATGAATCAAGGGTGGGTCGGCTTTTGGTCTGAACCTGTCGACCGTTTCTTTTTGTAAATGGGCCCCTAAACCGGGACAAAATCGTCGAGAAATCGCGGGTCGAGAGTTTTGACGCGGAAACATCGTCCGACCTTGTGGCCACTTAGCGGCCGGGCGCAGCAGACCGAGCTGGCGAATGCCGACCTCGGCCGATGGTCCCCCAAGATGCGTATCTGGAGCGAAGGGGCGGTGTTTGAAGTCATTTGGTTTCATCCTGGGCCAAACCAAGAAAAGGGGAGGTTATAGTTATACTCGTACCATGATGATGATGATGATGATGATGATGATGATGATGATGATGATGAT